GTATTACCATTTCCGTTTGCCTAATGAAGGATTTGACTTTGGACTCCGAGCATTAGGTAACGATGATGATGTGCGTAATCTCTCACGATATGTTACCCATAATAACAAAATGATTAAAGTGTACACAGAGCATGGTCAAACGAACTTGCTTACATATTTTATGTCCCCAACTGGTCCAAAAGGGTTATAATAGAAGACATGGAGAAGCAGGATTGCATTAGACCCTCATCACCTGTAGTTGCTCATGAAGTGGTAACTCCAATCCAAATTGATGTTGGTGAGGGTGATTTAGGGTTAGCATTAACCTTATACAAATCAGCAACACCTGAATTTAGTAGGTCTAAAGGTTGGAAACATAGTAAAGGGGCATCGTCTTGTAGTAGAATGCTTAAATTGGATTGGGAAGGTGCTGAAAAAACAATGGCAAGTGGTGAAGTTGATAAGGGTAAGGGTGTAGAAGGATTTGTAGATGAATTTGTTGTAGTTGATGCAGAAAAAGAGTTAAACAAAGAGATTGATGTGAATGAAGAACTTGATGTGAACAAATCCAATGGTGAGGGTGTAGAAGGATTTGCAGATGAGGGGTATAGAGTTGTCATGGATAATGATCCTCAAGGAGTCAATGAATTTTCAACTAACATCAACATAGATGATGAGTTAATGACAAACTTTCAACCTTTTGAAGGGTTTGAAGACCAAGATAGCATCCCATTTAATGGGTTTGAAGGCCAAGATAATATTCCTTTCAATGATGAGTGCAGACAAGAGGAGCCTGATGACATTGAGTTTGAGAATCAAAACAGTGAAGATGAAGATAGTGACTTTATGATTGATGAGGACAACATAATTGAAGATGTTGACGTTGACATGGAGGATTTCAATCTAAATATTGATATAGAAGCAGAGTTCAATGGATGTCAAAGAATGGGTGGTCAAAGAAATGAAGATAGTGTTGAAGAAGATGATTTGGAGGTAATTGACAATGACGAGTGGGATTCACTAAGTGATGACTCAGGGGACAACAGGAAAAGAAGAGAAATGATCAAAGAGCTGGGGAAACAAACCTTATGTTCTGCTGGTGAGGTGCACAAGGTAGCTTTTCATATTGGGCAGAAATATAAAGCCAAGAAAGAATTGAAAGATAAAATTGACCTGCATGCTTTAGAGACAAGGAGGAATATCTCATTCACAAAAAACGACAAGAGTAGATTAACAGCTGTTTGTGATGGAACTGTAGTTTTAAATGCAAGTGGGGTAGGTGGACCTACCTCTGGGAAAAAGGTAAAGGGTAAAGATGTAAACTCAGATAAAGTTAAATGCACATGGAAACTTCATGCATCTAGGTCAAGTGAACAGGACTATTGGTTTATTAAGACTATAATCAGAAACACATCTGCCTCCAAACACGAAAAATCAGATCTTGCACAGCAACATTTCTTTCCAAACGTATTATGGATCAGATTGAAGCTAATCCTGGACTGCCTGTTCGTGCCCTACAAGAGCAACTCCAATCAACTTATGGAGTTAGTATTTCAGAAGAGAAAGCATTTAGGGCAAAAGCATTAGCCACCAAAAATGTTGCAGGGGATTACGTAAAGCAATATGCAGCTTTGAGAGACTATGTACTAGAGCTACAAAAGACAAATGAAGGTACAACTGTAAAGATTGATGTGGTTTCAGAACCTGTGGTTTCATCCCCAACCAGGCAATTCAGAAGGATATACGTGTGTTTAGGTCCTTTGAAGAAAGGTTTTAAGGCAGGTTTGAGAGAATTTTTAGGCTTAGATGGAGCCTTCATGAAGGGACCTTTCCCAGGTCAAATACTAAGTGCAGTTGGTGTTGATTCCAACAATGGAACCTACCCATTGGCATATGCTGTTGCTGAAAGTGAAAACACTTCAAGTTGGAAATGGTTTCTTCAGTGTCTTGCAGAAGATCTTGACTTGTATTCAAATTCCAACTTCACCTTTATCAGTGATAGACAGAAGGTACTATAGTTACATTTAATATTGCATACTAGTTTCATTACAAACTAATGATAATTTCTTATTTTGTTTTGGTGACAACAGGGT